AAGACTCAATCAGCACCTTCTCTATGGCTCTGGGTTGAAAGGAAGACAATTCCAACTTGTGTTATAATTTCAGAGATAAGTATTGCTTTCCCGCCTTGTTTTCCATCTCCATTTGCATGGGAAAATTTTCCATCCCGTCACTTTCATCCTGTGAGTCTTTTCAGCTGGGTGGGTCTCCTGTAGACAGCATATACATGGCTCGTTTTCTTTTTTTTTCTTTTAAATATATTTTTATTGATTTCAGAGAAGAAAGGAGAGGGAGAGAGAGAAACATCAATGTATATAGAGTCATTGATGGGCTGCCTCCTGCACGCCCCCCACTGGGCATCAAGCCTGCAACCCGAGCATGTGCCCTGACAGAACGGAACCCGGGACCCTTCAGTCCGCAGGCCGACGCCATGTGCCCTGACGGGGAGTGAGCCCACAGCCTTGTCGTATCAGGACAGACTCCAACCAACTGAGCTGCCTGGCCAGGGCCCAGGTTTCCTGTTTCTTCTTCTTTTTAGATTTATTTTTAAATTTGAATTTACTGTTGGTTTCTGCGTTCTCAGATCTGTGTGTGGCACCGTGTGCCCCCTCCCGAAGTCAGAACTTCCGTCACCTTATGTCAGGACCCCCTCCCCCACCCTCCTTCCTTCCTCTTCTGGAGGCAGGTTTGGTAGTTTGTTTTTAGAAATTTGTCCATTGCCTCCAGGCTGTCTACTTTATTGCCACTAATTGTTGTTAACTAACTAATTGTTTAGTATTCCTGCTCTTCATGGTGCTGAGAGGGCAGTGTTAACACATTGCGGACCAGTAGTTTCATTGCTAGCTTTACCCAGTGGCCAGATAAATTTCTATGGAACGAGTACAAAATACGTTTTACATAAATGTTAAAGGCACGCCTTAACATTAAATACCCACTGCATTGTGAAGTTATTACATGTTCTTACAAGCTAATGTCTTTTTAAAGAATTCTCCTGATTGGCCACAAGCCTTAGAACGGAAAACACGAGGATTCTCATGATCCGTCTGCAATGTGTTGGAAAGCCAGCCAAGATTGGGAATATACCTTTCTCCTTTTGATTCAATTTCTGACTTTTATTTGTATGCACTGCGAGGTACATAGAAATCTGGGGTGCTTATATCTGCTGTAGGCTGCCCCTTTTTACCATGTGAATTTTCTCTGGGTGGCGGGGCGGGGCAGGAGAGCCTCCCCCTGCCGCTCTCCGTGGTGCTGATCCCCCCCACCCGGGGCCTGGCGACTGTGCCCGGTGGCAAGTTATTACATGTTCTTACAAGCTAATGTCTTTTAAAGAATTCTCCTGATTGGCCACAGCCTTAGAACGGAAAACACGAGGATTCTCCTGATCCGTCCGCAATGTGTTGGAAAACCAGCCAAGATTGGGAATATATCTCCTTTTGATTCAGTTTCTGACTTTTATTTGTATGCACTGTGAGGTACATAGAAATTTGGGGTGCTTATATCTGCTGTAGGTTGCCCCTTTTTACCATCGTGAATTTTCTCT